AGAAGCAGTTATCTCCCCACACCTCCTATGGGGAACCCAAGTTCTCTCATATCGACCCAAGTTCCATCAGCCAGATGTGCGGCTGCTTCTCTGGACATCAGAAATCATACCAGTTGTCAAAAATACTCCCTTCAACTTCAAGCTGTATCTTTGACCCAGATAGCATAGGAAATTAAATGAGCATTTGCCCTGCAAGTATGAAGTGTCATTTCTCTGTAATAATCATGCTGTTGCTAGGGGAATAAATAGCTGTATACTAAGAGGATGTCCAAAGATGTACATAGAATAAGCCTAAATAGCAAGCATATTCTCAGGTATCTTTACAGGAATTCAAGGAACGCATGCAACTATAGTCCCTGTAAGACCTCACATCTCCATCAGGTGATCAGATCTGCACAAGAGACTGCAATGGAAGCAGGCTTTGATAGGCACTAAATTCAGTAACAGAGCAGTACACTCCACTGATTAAATGGTCAAAGATATGGATTTTTCTTTAGTCTGTTTGAAGGTCTTTCCTAGTTGGCAACACACTAAGATAGACTTTAGAAGTTGCTTAAAAATCTCTGAGGAAGCACAAACCTCCAGAAAGCTCAGGAAAGTTTTTGATACACACGTATGCCTCACGCAGAGTCAGATGGCCTTGCAAATCGCTGCTAGTGATGGTTTAGCAAATGCCTTGACAGCTACATCTAGGAAAAGCTGAAGAGAGATCCAGGGAACAAACCAGATCTGATTCAGTTTGCAGTAAAGGTCACCAATGCTTATGAATAACAGCACAAGAAAAGCTGACCAGCAGGTCAACATATTTATCATCCTAATCAGACAATAATTCTTGGTGCATAAAAACAGTTTTAAAAACCCAACAAAAACAAAACAAAAAAAAACACCAAAACCAAACCAAACCAAACCAAAAAAAACAGAAGCTCCCTGCAGCTGAGTAAACTGTCTCAGCCACTGCCTGGCAGCAAACAGAAAACAGGGAAAAACAAAGACATACTTGACTAAACTCTCCTTCCAGTTTCTAGCAGCCAGAAGTTTAAATGTATTTACTGAAGAACAGGTATTCTTTAAAGAAGAAACACTAAAGTTGAGGTCCCCATCATAAATAAAGCAGTTTTCTTCCCCCCCCAGACAACTGCATAGAAGAACAGAAACCAATTTCCTTCACATTTGATAACATTTCTCAAAGTCTGGAATAACAAGCAGCAAAAATCTCCTTCAGATTCTTGATTGAGTCCAATATGCATCAATAGACAACTTTACTGTAATTAACACTTTTTCAGGAAAGATAACTAGCTTGTCTTAGAGAACCAAAAGGCCCTGTGCAAGCCAGTGAGGAAGATCTCTGGTCATTTTAGTTGAGGTGAAGGAACCCCAGCTGCCCAACATTAACACAGGTACCCTCCACACCAGCAGTGGACACAGACGGCATCCCTCACCACCAACAGATCAGAAAATCAGTGGGGAACCAGGAAGATACAGTTCTCTGCCAATAAAGGATGAAGAGGAGAAATGGCAATATACATATTGCAGTATGTATGCAGACCATACAGTGCCATGTCTACATGCAGTAATCAGTGATTACTGTCACCGAAGTCAAGCTCTTTCAGCCCAGCAGACATTCTTTAACATCCAAAGCTTACTAGAACCTATTAAGGCAATGGGCAAGCCTAGTCCACGAACTTTTAAGCCTCTAAAGACTTCCTTGGTGGTGTTTAATCTGCTCAAGCTAAAAAAAAAGAAGAGAAGATGTATCCTGGGATTGGACTGTGGTTTATGTAAGATAGAAGAGAAAGGCTGATGAACTACTAAAATTGCCCTGGGAAAGGAACAAAGTCAAACACAGAAAAGGTTGCACTGTTACATACAAGAGAATCAGATTTCTTTCTGCTTTACATGCTCAAGCACTGAACAGAAGGAAGGGGGTGCAGCAAAAAAGAATGCTTTTATATGTTTCATGGAAGTAAAATATGAAAACCAAACTTTGTTTCAAGTGACCTTTCCCAGGAAAATCAAAATCTCAACTGAAAACAGAATTCCTCAGTGAGTGACTACAAGGTTTCAGAAGGTGTCAAGAGAAGACCAATGCATATTCAGCTTTGGCACAAGTAAATATAAATGCAACATACGGCAATCTGATCCCTCAGTGGAAACATCAGCTTCCCCACTTATGTACTGCAGTGAAGGGCAAACTGAAGTAACAGAGCAGGCAGATAACCATTTAAGCTAGGGGCTATGCAGACCTCTAACACATCTCTGAACTAGCAGAATGGACTACTGTATAGGACTAGAACTGAACCCACAAGTATCAGTTGGTTAGGCTATGCATCTGCACCAGCATCACAGTATCAAACATGCCAGAAATGCAAACAGAGTGTAGCAAGAGAGTAATTATGTTGTATGTATAGTCAGGATGGAGAACACAAGCAGATACAAGAGAAGAAACCACACATTTATAGAAAAGAAGTTACAAAGGCTGTAAAAAGGTGTTTCATTCTACAAAGCAAAAACACTGCTCAATTCCCTTTACCTCCTTTACTCATTATAACCAGTGCTTCCATTATATGTTCCAGAATATAAACTAGCAAAACAGAAGCACCAAGTATAACTATTATTTCTACTTTCTCTAAAGATCATTTTCTCAATTACAACCTGTAAATTTCCCAAGTCTATACACTTAGTATAGCTCAAGTCTTCTATATTCACCATCTTCCCAAAGGGTTAATTACAGGTGGTACTTGTTACTAAAATGGAGGGGGAAAAAGTCTGTGTCCCACTTCAAGAAATACCAAGGCAAAGTTTTTGACTTAGTAATAAAAATAACATATTCACATATCACTAAGTAATTAAAATAGGCAGAAGATCCCATTGATAAATGTGAAAACCAAAAAGGTAATAGACTACAACAAGGTTTCAAAATTAGTAAAAGAACTGCAGAAAAGGGGAAGGAGAAAAGTGTGTAAGGCATATAGGTAGGAAAGACTTCGTTACTGATATGGCAGCTTTCTCTTTAAAAAAAAAAAAAAAAAAAAAGGAGTATTTCAATACACCATGCCAAAATTAACTACACCAAAATTGGCATACCTGTTCCAAGACAGAAACTGACCTTTTGAATAGAAATATTTATTTAAACTAATAGAAAATTTTAAAAAGGAACATACCATTTTAGGCCCAAAATTGGTAATTACCAGCTGATTAAGAAATGTCTTTTCCTAAAATTAAATATGGACAAAATATGTTTTATAAATATTTTTGATTCAGACTTCTAAACTGCAAATTACTTACTACAAGAAATAGCATGATTCACAAGTATCTTGAAGGGGGAATGTCTCTCTACATCTAAACTTATGAATGCATGCAACATCATTGACAGCAGTTGTTTTTTAAATGTGTGATCACAATGAACATGTTTGACACAAAGAAACTAAAACCAGGTGCTTATTGCATAGAATTACTTCTGCTGCTGTAAAAGCAAGATCTGGTGACTAAAGTTGTTTACCTCATTCTCAAATGCAGTCACTGCTGCCAGAGTACATTTAACATAAATACAAACAAAACTTACCAGTTTTAAAAACAATACCCTTGATGCTATGCACTAATACCCTCTAAATTAATTTATTTTCCATGTAGTGGACAAATCCAGTCAGTGTAATTCCTTTACTGCATGTGAATAGTAAAAGTGCTTTTCCCCCCTCCCACGAATATGTTCCCTATGAGAACACTAGGTTGTGCAAAACCCATAAATCTCTCAATTTAAAGGTTAGTTTTAGAAATTTGAAACTGTAACATCAGGGTCTTTTGCCATTAATGGTTATCATCTTCATTGGCAACATGGACAGTGAGATTGAGCGCACCCTCAGCAAGTTCACCAGTGACACCAAGCTGTGTGGTGCAGTTGACACACTGGAGGGAAGGGATGTGCCATCCAGAGGGACCTGGACAGGTTGGAGAGGTGTGCCCGTGAAAAACTCATTAAGTTTGGACAAGGCCAAGTGCAAGGCCCTGACTATGGGCCTGGTCAATCCCAAGCACAAATACAGGCTGGGTGAGGAATGGACTGAGAGCAGCCCTGTGGAAGAGGACTTCTGGGTACTGGTAGATTAAAAATTGATTATGAGCCAGCAATGTGTGCTCACAGCCCAGGAACCCAACCATGTCCTGAGCTGCATCAAGAGGAGTGTGGCCAGCAAGTCGAGGGAGGTGATTCTCTCCCTCTACTCTGCTCTCATGAGACCCCACCTGCAGTGCTGTGTCCAGCTCTGGGGTGTCCCAACATAAGAAGGACATGGACCTTCTGAAGCAGGTCCAGAGGAGGCCACAAAGATGATCACCCGCCTTGTGAGGACAGGCTGAGAGAGTTAGGGTTGTTAAGTCTGGAGAAGGCTCCAGGGAGACATTATAGTGGCCTTCCAGTACTTGGAGAGGGCTACAGAAAAGATGGGGAGGGACTCTTTATCAGGGAGTGTAGTGACAGGACAAGGGGTAATGGTTTTAAACTGAAAGAGGGTAGATTTAGATCAAATACGAGGAAGAAATTCTTCACTGTGAGGCTGGTGAGGCACAGGAAGATGCTGCCCAGAGAAGCTGTGGCTGCCCCCTCCCTGGAAGTGTCCAGCCTGGAAGGCCAGGCTGGACGGGGCTCTGAGCAACCTCATCTAGTGGAAGGTGTCCCTGCCCATGGCAGGGGGGTTGGAACTAGACAATTTTTAAGGTCACTTCCAACCCAAATCATTCTGTGACTCTAGTAACACCAACTACTGTAGAAATGGCTGCAGAGCAGTTATGTGTGGAAGTAGAACAGTACAACAGCTCAATTAAAGAGTTTTAGTGCACTTTGCTCATTTTAGCCTATATGCTATACTGCCCTTTTTGCGTACAAAGTGAACTCCAGGATTGCCACTGTAAGAAAAAAATGACTTGGCAAGAAAAACACTGAGTCAAGCTGCCTTTTTTTTCCTTATAGACTTGGACATTTTAAGACAGAAGCTTTACAAGACATTGCAGAATTCTGTGTTTTTATTAATAAATGAAAAAGTCTGATTTGTTACATTGTCACATTGCTAATCAGAAATGCTTCAATAATGAAGAAAAATCAACGCTGGGGCAACCCAAGTCCCCATTCTACAACATTCGTTCACAAAGAAAACATAGTAATGTTCAACACAACAAACAAAACATTCCTCTTCTTCAGAGAAGAGTCCCATCTTCTTCCTCTAGTGGGTATCTTAACTACGTAAATTAGAAATTTTTTTTGGACAACATATACACATATCCCCAAACTTTCATGGGATCAAAACGGGCTTCTACAGATGTTACAAAAGTCTTCACACATGATCATCATCTGATGTGTCACTGCTGCTTGTCTCAGAATCCTCATTCTCCAGAGCAGGTTTGAAAGTGCTGTTTTTCCAGAAGCTGAACTTAAAATCACAGATGAGGCCATTTTTTAAAATGCCATTTCTCCGAAGACCATTTCTTTTTAACTGAAATGAGAAAACAGGATGTATTTAGAGAAAGAAAAAACTACACACAACAATCTGTCACAATTCAACATTCTCTACATCTTCATCTCTTGGCTACACTAGATCCACAGCACTACCTTTTCATACATACGCACAAAGGAAAACTGCCCTGAGAGCCTTTACTTCTGGACCAGTCACTGTATCCAAGAGCATCTAAGTGTGCTAAGCTTCTGCAGTCAACAAAAGCTTACCCTCTTCTCACCCACTTCCTCAGACATCTTGCCCCAGTGATCCCTCCTCCCACATGGTCTCTCCTGCGAGGCAGTCCCTTTTTCCACAGTGATGCAAACATCTGTGCTAAGAAGGGCAGGGTCTGCAAAAAGAAAGGGGCCCAGAAGAGGAGAAGCAGCAGGGAGGAATGGGTATTCCAGTCTGTCTACCTGATGCAGTTGGAAAGTCAAAGACACTGGAGAGAAAGGAAACAACCGATTCTACAACAAAAAAGGAATTACTGCCAAGCATTTAGGAGTTTAATATTTCAAATGCTCTAATTAATACTCCAAAAGATGGGATTAATATTCAAAATGCTTTAACTGATATTCTAAATGCTCTGATTAACATTCCAAATGCTATAATTAATATTCAAGACGCTCTAATTAATATGTGTGTGGCTAGACTTGTGGAAATATCAAATCTTCACATTTAACATTGCAAAAGATTCTCCCTTCCAGCTCCTCCTTATTGACCCCCATCAGGTATATACAACATTTCTAATTTAAAAAAAATAATAAATCAAGTCTAGATTGCCTTTTCAGACTTTGTTACTAGTGAATTAAACGTGTCTCAATTTCCAACAGAGAAAATTCAGGTTTTGGAGAACCAAGGAAACTGCACTCCCTTATCCCTCCCTTGATATTTTGAGAATAGGCCTTACCCTACAATAAATACCAGTTCCCTATCTTTTCAAAGCAACTATTCTTCCAAAAGCACGACTGAAATGGTACTGAAACAGCAACATCTCTAACCATCAAAATTACTGCAGATTCTCCTCAAAGGTAGGCATTTAGGGTAGCCAGCCACAAGTTCATAATGGAACATTAACTTAGTCTTACCTGTTCACTAATAACTTGGAACTCCCTCATCTCATCCTCTGTTAGTGGAGCACACATTTCATCATTTTCACTGTCTTCCCGCCAGCCCATCTCCTTTAACAACCTTTAAAGGAAAAAGGACAATGTTAAGGAATTTGCTATACTGTTCCCTCTTCCTGATCCTCCTTTTACGATATTTGGTACAAGGCACTTATGAGTATGCTGGCACACAGGGCACTGGGCAATTATTGTTTTGATCATATCCAGTGACATAACTATGCCACACTCTTGGGCCCACTTGTAAGTGGCCTTTTCCCCAAGATGCCCACATTTCTGGTGTGCCCATTTCGCCAAGCCTTCATGATCTCCTTCCCGAGGGAACTCCAGTCTGGCTTGGGTAATCTTTGCCCGGTTATCAGTGACAGAACTGTAAAGACGCTCAAGTGAATTTATATTACTATGAGCATCTACATGGAATACTGTCACCTTGGTTCTTTGAACCAATTCCCAAGTATCTTTCCATACTGCCTTTCCCCAGACCGTTTTAGAATACATTTTCCAATCTTTGGCCAAGTAGCCAATCCATTTGCCACTGACCAAGAATCAGTATACAGGTGACATTCCCCTAAATCCTCTTGTTTTAAAGCCATATATGCTGCATACATATTTCCACTTCTCTCCCATGGTCTCCAGAAATTTCCCTGAATGAGGATGATAAGCCACTGCCTTCCAAAACCTCTTCCCTCCTACATATTTAGCTGACCCATCTGTAAATCATGCATGTTCCCTTTCAAGACGTAGCAGCTGATCCAGGGTCTTCCCCCATCGCAAAGGGGATTCCTGTTTGACTACAGGATCAGGCTTTACCTCTTGGTCCTGTATGGGGGCAGCCACTACTTGCTCATGGAGGGCAACAACACTACCAGGTCCCACCTTTGCTCTGTCCTGGATGTACCATTTCCATTTTACAATGCTTGATTCTTGTGCATGCCCTATTTGGTGAGTCTTCAGGGAGCTTTTAACCCACTGCATAATAGAGATTTTGGGGCGCAGGGCCAACTTGTGGCCTATTATGAGCTGCTCGGTTTCTATCAAGGCCCAATAACAGGCTAATAGTTGTTTCTCAAAGGGTGTGTAATTATGCCCTGCCTCTGGTAACTTTCTTCCCCAAAATCCCAAGGGGACTTGTTTCTGCCAGAGGCTCCAATTAGCATATGACCCATTTACAGATACATTCAACTCTACTTCGCCATCCTGCATGGGCCATAAGTCCAAAGCCCTTTGAATAGCCTCTTTTGCCAATTCAAAGGCAGCCTGGTGCTCATTTCCCCATTTGAATTCATACTTTTTGCAAGTTACCTTATCTAATGGGGCCAGAATTTGTCCTAAATGGGGAATATGTTGTCTCCAGAAACCAAACAGCCCAATAAATCACTGTGCCTCCTTCTTATTCTGTAGTATAGCAAAGTCAAGAATCTTTTGCCAAGCTTTAGGTAGTATTTCTTAATGACCACAGTTCCAATGTATTCCTAAGGAAGTTAACTGTCTGAGATGGCCCTTGGATCTTAGCAGGATTAATCTCCCAACCTTTCTGCCTCATATGCGTTAGTAGCCCTTTGTTGTAATTCATACTCACTGGTCCCCTGAATCAGGATGTCATCAGTATAGTGGATCATTTGCATATGAGAAGGGAGCTGTACCTCATCCAGGTGCTCAGCCACTATTCTACGGCAAACAGTCAGACTATGCACACAACTCTGAGGCAACCTGGTGAAGGTGTACTGCCATCCTTGCCATGTAAATGTAAATTCATCCCAATGCTCTTCTGCAATCGGAATCGTAAAATACGCATTGGCCAGGTCAATGACAGCGTACCACATGCCAGGATGCCTCTGAACTCTTTCTATTAAAGTGATCACATCAGGTACAGCTGTTGCAAGAGGTGGGGTGCTCTTATTCAGTTCTCTATAATCCACAGTCATTCTTCAGAATCCATCAGCCTTTTGGGCTGGCCAGATTGGACTATTCCACATTGTGGTAGTCAGTTTTAAAACCCCTGCAGCCAGTAAATCTTTGATTGTTTGGGAAATTTCTTCATGACCACCTGGAATCCTGTACTGTTTCATGGTTACTACCTTGGTCTCAGTTGGGATCTGAACCAGAGGCATCTTTATCATCCCTACTAAAACTGCTCAGTTAGTGATATAACTCTTTACTCCAAATTGATAATGACCATCAAGAAGATTCAAAGTAAGTCCCTTTAGAGTATCCATTCCAACTATATACTCTGGAAACGGAACAATCATGACTGTATACTGTCGCTTTGGAAGATTTCCAATTTTTGTATCAATTTGGGTTTGTACCACTTCAATTTCTTTTCCACCCAGTCCTGTAATAATCACAGATTGACCTTTAAATTTCTTTGGATTTCCATAAATCAAGGAGGCCTCTATTCTGGTATCCACTAGAGCCTTTACTATTTGAGAGGACCATTTTTTCCAGAATATTTGTAGCTCCACCTGGGGTTGTCGGTCCTCCCACGCCCAATATACCGGAGCTTGGCAAATATTTCAGTATGGATTATAGTACCTATTGTCTCTTGAGGGGTACAGGTCAGAATACTGCTGACATTCGTGGTTCCTCCTCCAAACAACCGAACTGGTCCCGGAGGGCCCACCGTGAGGCAAAGGCAGGATCCCGTTGAGGATCCAGAGGGAGTGCTGAGGGCTGAACAGTTTCTGACCAGTGTGCTTGATAATTATGCACTTTTCTACGGGGTTTCTGTAACCTTCTCTGTTTGTACAACCTCCACAATTCACTGGTGTCAAGACCACCAATTTTAGCGAGAGGCATGCCATCTTTCAATAAAGCTTTAAACTACTGTCCTTGAGACAGCCGACGTCCAGTATCTTTACCATGTTGGGTGTCTTGGTTCTGTGTATACTCCCAGGGGCCCTGTTGACATCAGAATTCTTGATAGTCCTGACACTCCCAGGGAGTCCATTTTCCAAGGTCACCTAGCTGCTGCATTTTCTCAAGTACATCTCTAATGGGATTTCCTGTTTCACTCAGTAAGAGAGTTACAAGAACATTCTTATAAGCTGGTAGAGCAGTTCTAATGATTGCATTTCTCATAGGCACAGACAATCGAAATTGCATCAATACATCAACATGGCCTCCATGAGTGGCCAGTTTCATTCCTTCTTCCTTCAATTGCTGTATACCATCCCAGAGAGTATACCATGGCTGGTCAAAACCTGGCCAGGAATTATCTAGGGGGTATTTTGCCTTGCACCCCACAGTGGCTAAAGCCTAAAGATTACTACTGTCATCACTAGTTGGAAATGCTTCCTGCACCAGAGGGTCTGAACTCAGAGTTACAAACTTTCTGCAGTCAGAATTATCCAGGCTAACCCCTGATGCTCCCTGATCATATACACGTACCATCCGAGCAAGCAGGGGCTCTCCTGGTCTCTGACTGAACCGTGCAAGAATATCACTGATTTCTTGCTGTGTGAAATCTTCCATTGTAGGTCTGTTTACTGGTGGCTCACCCTCAGAAAATTCCACCTTCCTCCTAAAGACTGGTCTCACATCTGCAGAGTCATGTGAGGCACTGGCCCCAGGGTACCAGATATTATAATCATCTGAGTCATCAGGGTTACAGTGTACATCCACCTCTATAACCTCTGAGTGGACCTACTTATGACTACATTGTCCCCGTCTCTTCCCACGTTTACACTGGGCAACTTGTACTGTATACTTCTCGGGTACAGTTTGAGAAGTGTCAAATTTATCAGTAAGGAGCTTGTTTACAGATTCTAATATCATAATCTGAGCTCGCATACGGGAACATTCAGCCTGTAAGTGATCTTTTTGCTGGTGCTGTTTCTTATATGCTCTTAACAGGATCCATCCCCGTCTCCGGAAGGTTACAGCATCCTGTGCCTTACTGGAGAATTTTTGAACATTTTCTAATACATCCTGCGGTTCAGCTTCTGCCTACCGCTTCTCCCACTCTTCACATGGTCCCCCAAATTTAATTCAGTCAAGGGCCAGCAAACTATACACAGGATCTTCCCAACCGGGAATTTCAGACGGGTCCATCCTTGTCGCCAATTTTGTTTTGCCAATTATCAGGCCTAGCATAAAGGACACAGCCAGTATAAAGATGAACCAATAACCAAATTGTATTTGATACAAAAGGGTCAGTACATGGGTGAGCACTGGGGGTACAAACAATTCATTCAGATTATACATAATGGACATCAATCCCACTGACCCCAACAATGACACTGCACGACCAACAATGGGTGGAATAAATGGTGAAATGCAGATTCCCATAGAAGCGATGAGAGACAACCGAGTCAACAAACCAAATACATAAGACCAAGGAAGCCACATACACTCTCTACACAGCTCGCATTTACAAAAGCCAGACCTGACTGGAGCCCAGTCCCAGGGAGTCGGGAAGTTCTTCCCCAACAGGAAACTGCAAAGTGCATCCACCTCACAGACAGACACTGCCCCTACCTGCAAGTGGTCCCAGCTTTTATCCTTAAGTGGGACACCTGACCTTTGTTTACTTAATGTGGGACACCCGGGGCTCATTTACCCAATGGCTCTCCCTGCCAGGCTGGCTGCACCCTGGAGGGAAGCCTAAAGGCAAACTCACCCCACCTTTGTGAAGGGCTGTGGGTATCACCCATAGGTCAACCTTAATTTGGGGCTTGGGGTTGAAACCCCAACATTTCATATACACAGTCATTTCAAGCTCTGCCTATATATATATATATGTGTAAAGGTCTGTAACAAATGGATTAATCAGTCCATAATTTTTGTAAACGATCTCTTACATAAAAGTAGTTTAAAAGTCTTACAAAAGATATATAAGGCATAGAAATTGAGAAGTTCAGGTCATTCACAGATGACCCTCTGTTTTACTACACGTGGTAAAAACTGTACCTTAATTTTCAAGCAAGAAATCTGCATCAGGTGGAAAAAGAATAATGTATTTCCTTTGCGTAACTGCTCTGGTGGAGCAGTAGTGTACCCCCTTGAAAACGGTATGAAGAGACAAAGACTCACACTGAGGGAACCTGCAAGTTTTCCTGGATCACAGAGCAGCCATGAGGAATACTGGTGGTGTCCCTCCATGGAAACCAACTGAGGATGCAATGACCTCATACAGTTTCTCTTTTCTAGCACATACTCATGTCAGAGCCAGGACAGGCTTCTTTGCAATTGAGTCTCATTCAACAGCAGATGCTGGTATTTCAGCACAGACAGGCTACAACTAGGAGTGAGTTTTGGGATGAGGGAAGGAAAAGAAACAAGACAAATTTCTCTTTGTGACTCAAGCTTTTGAGATATCCAAAGATGTAACAATCAACATGCTTTACCTAGTGCCAAAAGTGGGAAGCAGTATCTGAGCAGAAAGAAAGTGGTTTTACATCTGAAAATGCTGTGAAAACAGGGGTTATCTGAGGTTGAAGACACATTGACATTTAACAATGAAAATAGTAAGGTCTCTTGCTGCACAGTTTTTGCCAAAAAGATTAGCACCTTCTTCAGGCAAACCACACACCTGTTGACCTTAAATGTTAAAGGAGGTTAAAGCTATTTCTCAAAAAATAAAGAGGATTCTAAAATATATGCCAGAACTGACACAAGATACTGACACTTAGAGCTGAAGAATGGCAAATATATTAAAACAAGCAAGCAAGATGAATTCACAGTTGATGTCATGTGCGAGGTACTTCATTTAGCCACAACAGCAAAAAATGCCCTTCAACATAACCCTCTCCTACAAAGAACTCTAGGTCCCAATACAATGGACATGCATTGGGCAAACTTGCAGGTGACCAATGGCACCAATGACTGTTGTTAAAACCATAATAAAGGCCTGGAATTGTAGAAGGAAAAAGGGACAACAGCACTAATCTGTTTAAAAAAAAAAAAAAAAAGTTTAGCAGGACAATAAAAGAAATTAAAATTACATCCTCTGTAGTATTTGCACTAAATTGGACAATGTGACAGCCAGGCACAATTAAATCCTCAGGAAGCAGCAGAAATAGCATGCAAGTCATTCAGAACTCTCATTTAAGTGAATATGTGCATTTATATACACATACAGAAAGACTCGGAATGCCAAACGCAGTTCAATGATATATATTTTTGGCAACAGTAATTTGAGTTAGGAAGTTTACTGCAAGCAAGCTAAGATGTTAACAGTATTATGTATAATAAAGTGAATAGTTACAGAGCTCCTGTAAAATCTAGGGCAAAGGCTAACTAACTTTGCAGCAATGCTGTCTAAAGTTAGCAGGACAACTGTCCCTTTAAAGCTACACTAGGCTTCTACAATGGTTTAAAGTGTGAAGTACATAAAAAAAAAAATTGAACTTCAGATTAGCAAGCTTCACACCCGACAGGATAGCTGCATGTTGGAAACTTTCCCAGCAGAAGGGAAGCCCGAGATGTATTTTATACAAGATGTTCCAATGCTGTTACTAAGTAAGCACCAGCATCCTGTGAGTTAAGCTAGTCACTTCAAGTCCAATTTACCACAAAAAGGCTTCCCATAACATCTGTCTACATGCATGCAAAGCCACAGCCAAAGGCCTGGGACAGTATGGAGACACAGCCTCTCTTGGATACCAGAAAGGAAAGACACTTGCCCAGAAACCCTATGAAGGCCATTCAAAGTCATCTGAATTGAAAAATCAGAGTTTGATTTGACTCCTTCCTTCTAGTAAAAAAATCAGTAGCAGCAGCCTCTGGTGGCCAAAGATTTCTGTCTCCATAGCCAGTGGTGGCAACAAAGGAACAGAGGAGGGTGTATTTCATTTTTCATACTCATCAGGGATAAGAGATCATGAAAGTTTCCTCTGCTGGTACTACAAAAGAGAAAGTTGTCTAGTCCAGCATATACGTATAATCTATCACTAAAAAAAACCCCTAACAACTCTCTATCTAAACTATCACTGCAATTCTGTAACTGCCAGAAACAGTAAGAATCTGACAGAGCTCATGACAAGCTCATCTCCAGTGATTTCCCAGCATCATCATTCTCATCTCTATCAGTTGCTACTACAGTTACTTTTATGAGATACTAGAATTGTTTCAATCTTTTTTTTGCAGTTAGTCTCCCTTTCTAGTGCATTGTCTTGTGGTATCACTAACAGTGTCAAATATTCAGCTATAGAAATAATTGACTACTTTAACAATGACAAAAAAACTCCATGGAATTTTACGCAAGGTGCAGCATTTAAACTACTATTAATACAAACAGCAATAACATGCATTATTTCTCCTAGACACGCAGACCAAAATTAGAGGGATGAAGTCACTATGCAGTTTGCTTTATTTCTTCATAATGAAATATATCAAATTTTTAGTATAGCAAGTTTGTCAGTACATAAGTCTAGTAGAAACAAAGTATATTCCATGATAAATCAGTACATGTCTAAGAGTTAAACTTTGACAGTATTCATCAAACATTTTATATGTTCTCAGTTTTCAGATTCTGACTTCTGAACTAGTAAGAATTTATGACACACTCACTTACCATGAAGGAACACTCTTTATGTTATATAAGTACATACCTGTGCTCTGCTTCAAGTGAGCTTGAAAGAACATCTGCCTGAGGAAAAGCTGAAGACTGAACGATCTGTTGAGATGTAATTGAAGAATTGCCATTCTCCTGCAGCATTTCATTTTCGAAGTTTCGGTTTATATCTCTCTCATGATAAGGACTGTTGCTGTTACACAAGTTAAAGGACTCATCATCCTGTAAAAAATAATTATGTATTACAAAGTTTAAAAGTAAATTGCAGACATTTACTTGTGAATGGAGGTGCTGCAATTCAGTGATTCCATTTAAGTTTAAATGGAGACACTCTATACTTCTTCAGGGGTAATTCTGTTTATACTTCCAGAGTTTGCAGTATGTGGATACTAGAGAAATCTTAAGTTATGTCACCTATCAAGTAAACTCAAACTTGTCTCAAACTTGTCGAAAGCAACTTCCATACTCTGCCTCAAACTCTTTTCTACAAAGTTTTAAACATATCTTGAAATTCAAACTTATTTAAGCTGCCTTTCATACTTACAGAAACAATAGGTTATTTGTTGAACTTACACAAGTTCCTAATTAAATATCAGAGCCGTGTGTGTCAGAAGTTTAAAGCATAAGAGTTCTCAAGGTAATTACTTAGAGTAAGGGGCAGGTCACAGCTACCATACCTCAACCAGCAAATTCATCTGCCACAAGCTCAGAAAGACTGAATACTGCTCTAAATTCAGACAACTTACCCTACACACAAGCACCTACCACAGCTCCTCAGGCTGTTAACAGCAACTGTAACTTTATAGCCATAAAGTAAGAACTATGAAGAAAGCAGACTGTTCAGGTTCACTCAAGTATTAAAAGTTCTTTAATCTTATAAACCAGAGATGTTTCTTTTTCCTCTATTCATTCAGTACCCCTAATTCTTATTTAGTAACGAACCAAATAGCTTCAGAGTCTTACCAACTGTAAAAAAAGAGCTGAGTATGGTCATTATCTAATTAACACCCTTTTGATAACAAAATCTCGAAACTAGGCATAAAACATCATTATCCATAGCAGGAGACAAACACTCAGTCACCCAGTTCTGCACTTGTAAGAAACTATACTTCAGAGTGCAGGATCAAAACCATCACCATTTCCCTCCCACTCACTGTTGTCTGCCAACAGAAATTTCAGAATGCTCAGCAAGAAATTTTTTAGAATAAGAATCCCAGTAAAAATACTTTCTGCTGTTAAATCATACACCTGAAGAATGCATCTCAGATTATCAAAGGAATTAATAAAATTATTTTAAAATTTTAGTATTTATAGGGCAAAGCAGCTTCTTCCAAGCATGATTTAGGTGCTGATTATGATGTGCCTCATTATTTCAGGTGAAATCTGTTACTGCAGGCCTTAAAACTCCATCAACAGGATCACATTATAGAATACTGTTGTGAAGCTATCTCCCCATCCACTCAGTTGCTCAACATTTCTACTGATAATCATTAAAATGAATGTTGGAATTAGAACTTAGTTGCAGGATTTGTTTAACATCTTTTCACACCTGTTAGTGAAACAGCAACAGCACACAGAAGAAAGCATACACTTGCCAACAACTACTCCATGCTACATGTTACATACACCTGACCAACGATATTTAACCTTCCACTTCTAAAAGCCTTTTTTTAATTTAGACTCACTTGCTTCTGAATATCAGCTGTGTACAATGGGACAATGAAATGCATTTGACATACCACAAAGATATTATGAACTCAAGATGATTTCAGGAACAGAAAACCCCACCAAGTTCATGTATTATTTTCAGAATTCTGAAGTTCAAGATAGTGTTTCTTAATATCTTTTCAATCTTAGGTCAAAATCGTTGTGTATTTCTTAATTTCTTGAACACACGAACAACATTACCCCTAACATGCATCTCAGGATGCTCAGCCATAGAACACTTAATGGAATGATGCAGACATTTCTTAACTCACACACAAAGCTAAGTTGTACAGCCACATTACAGCAAATTTTATTTTGCCTGAAATAGGAACAGGGACAGAAAAGTCAATCTTTCTTGTATAAGCAATGCATACTGGCACCATTTCTTTTTTCATGTTTCTGAATACGAATAAACCATCCACAAAACCACTCATTTATCTAGCCAATTTGTAATAAGGCTTGTAATCAGTAATACAATACTTATTTTCACTTGGACTATGTATGTTAACTATGCTTATAGCTTGTTGGTGGCTGGTAGCATGGACACAAATGTCCTCTGGTGTCAGCCAAGCACTGCATAAATCCATCCAGACTGAAAGAAACCCAACACATATTATATATAGACAATATAGGCCTCCAAGTTCTCAATTAGGAAGTAAAACCAGGTTCTTTACACATGCATAAAATGAACTATTGCTCTTATGACTAGACCAAGAATAGAGAACTTCTGGCTATCTAAACACTGTAACTAGAAAATAAATTATTTGAGAAGCAGAGCCAAGTTTTTCCATTATTTGTTTTGCAGGATAACTACCAGCCAAGGTATGAAACATTGCACTCTACAAGTCTGTGAGGCTGGATGAGATTCACCCAAGTACTGAGGGAGCTGGTGAAGTGCTCACCAAGCCACTTTCCATCCTTTATCAGCAGTCCTGGCTAACCAGGGAGGTCCCAGTTGCCTGAAGATTAACAAATGTGATGCCCATCTACAAAAAGGGCCGTAAGGAGGATCTGGGCAACTACCGGCCTGCCAGCCTGACCTTGGCGCCGGGGAAGATTATGGAGCAGATCATCTTGAGTGCCATCATGTGCCATGTACAGGACAACAAGGTGACCAGGCCCAGCCAGCATGGGTTTATTAAAAGCAGGTCCTGCTTGACAAACCTGATCTCCTTCTGTGGCAAGGTGACCTGCTTAGTGGACAAAGGAAAGGCTGTTTACCTGGACTTTAGTAACATCATTTCACACAGCGCTCCCCCAGAGAAACTGGCTGCTCAGGGCTTGGATGAGCACACTCTGCACGGCTGGATGTCTGGGTTCAGAGAGTGGTGGTGAATGGAATTAAATCCAGCCAGCAGCCAGTCAGAAGTGGTGTTCCCTAAGGCTCAGAACTGGGGCCAGTTCTGTTTAATATCTTCATCAATGATCTGGACTAGGGGACCAAGTGCAACTTCCGTAAGGGTGCAGATGACACCAAGCTGGGCGGGAATGTTGATCTGCTTGAGGGCAAAAAGGCTCTACAGAGGGATCTGACAGGCTGGATCGATGGACCGAGGCCAACTGTATGAAATCCAACAAGGCTGAGTGCCAGGTCCTGCATTTTGGTCACAACAACCCCATGTAACACTACAGGCTTGGGAAAGAGTGGCTGGAAAGCTGCCTGGTAGGGAACAACCTGTGGGTGTTTGTCAACAGGTGGCTGAATATGAGCCAGCAGTGTGCCCAGGTGGCCAAGAAGGCCAACAGCATCATGGCTTGTATCAGAAACAGTGTGGTAAACAGCACTAGGGAAGTGATCATCCCCCTGTACTCAGCACTGGTGAGGCTGCACCTCAAACACTATGTTTGGTTTTGGGCCCCTCACTAAAAGAAAGATGTTGAGGGGCTGGAGTGTGTCCCAAGAAAGGCAACAAAGCTGGTGAAGGGTCTAGAGCACAAGTCTTATGAGGTGTGGCTGAGGGTTGTTTAGTCTGGAGAAAAGGAGGCTGAGGGGAGACCTTAATTGCTGTCTACAACTACCTAAAAGGAGGTTGAGGTGGGGGGGTGTTAGTCTCCTCCCAGTTAACAAGCAATAGAACAAGAGGAAATGGTCTCAAGTTGAGCCAGGTGAGGTTTAGACTGGATATTAGGAAAAATTTCTTCACTGAAAGTGTTGTCAAGCACTGGAACAGGCTGCCCAGGGAAGTGGTTGAGTCACTGTACCTGGAGGCATTGAAAAGACGAAGATGTAGCACTTAGGTACATTGTTTAGTGGAGGATTTGGCAGTGCCAGGTTAGCAGTTGGACTCAGTCTTAAAGATCTTTTCCAACTTAAACACTTCTACGATTAGGTTAGTCTACTAAGCTTAATTTATTTTTTTTATTGTTGCTAAAGACACAGACGTACCTGAGTTATTAACATGCATGAACAGATACTGCATGAAAAAAAAAAAACTAAGACCACTGAGGAAAGAGTAGTACTTGGAACAACTTTCTTTAATTCACTAAAATGCAATCCCTTTCCTTCATTTCAAGATCTGAGATCTTCACTTATCAGCTGTTTAGAGCAAAATAAAATGTAGTTCACAGTCCATCTGAAAACTACTACTGCTGGATCTACAACAGATATGAACAAAACTACCTTCGCCTGCCCAGCATGATTCTCATCTTCATGTTTCTCTTCCACTTTATCTTGTTTCAATGCTTTCAGAAATTCACTCTTCTTATCAGTTCGCATTCTTGTCAATTTTGTTAAACGAGGCTGACCAACTTTGTCAACAGGCGATGAAGAACTTGACCGATTACACTAATGTAGGGAATCAGAAAAAGAAAAAATATTAGAAAACTTTGAAAGACAGACAAAAAGACTCCTGGCACCTTAGTTTCAGGTTTCATGTACGTACACAATCAAAGCAGAGTGAAGGTATTTGTATTTCAGTATATAGTTCTTACATGCAAACTCAGAGATGCAGGTTTATGAAGGACTGCTAACAACCAGTGTACCTGCTGAAGTGCACTATACCATTAGCAGTTTTGATGTTTAAACCTATCAGGTATACTTCCCAATGCATCATTTTTATTTCAAATCAAACATACAAAGCAAACTGTGCAGTACTTAAAAGCCAGTGATGTGCCTTCCATATCTCTCACACATTAATTTCCACAAAAACTTAACAGAAATCTGCATAAAACTACTAATCCCTTATCTAACCAAATTAAACATTTTATAGATTTGATAAAACTTGTCTGTAGTTTTACCTCTTTCACTGAATTTTGTGATACAGTAAATGCCTTGGCAGTTGATCTGAAAGGACTGAAATTGCGAACACCATATGCAGATTCATGAGGAAATGGGTTCCCAAGTTTATTTTCCTTTGCTTGACTTTTCCACTGTGTAGGCTAAATAAAAATTTAAACAGAAATTTAAAGAGTCAATAACTACAATATGATTATTTTCAGGAATCTTCAGAAAAATAATTAAGCAAAAGCAAATAATAACCACAACCATACTTTAGTGCAAACACCCGTTTTCTTGTGGAAAAGAGACTGTTTATGAGCAATTCATCTGCTCAAATACTGTTTATAATTTTTATATAAAGACTTGAATTTCAAAACAATTAAGACCATCATATTGAAGTATTAAGAATCAAAATATGTCTTAAAGAGATGGAAGTATTATTTTTAATGTAGAATGTTAAAAGTTAGGAACCACTCCATTACATGCTCTCAGGAGCACAGAATTCCTGAAACAAAAATAAAGAGAAGAACACAAAGTTTCATTTGGAAAGGGACCAGAATGACACTAACAGGTTGCAACATCTTCTCTATTAATAATTGGGATAAATTTTGAAGGTATTTTCATGCCATCTATCTCTCTCCCTAATATCTATTTCTCTGTTAAAATCATGTATACAAAAGGCACTGCTATTCAGTAAGTTAAAAGGATCCTTTTCACTCTCACTTGGACAGTTCTTCTACTTCCCCAAAAACGTAAATGAGAATCAAAGTGTGATCCAATTACAGTATAGTTTAAAAAGAAAAATGAGAAAAAGTTGTTTCCATTCACTTCTGGGTTGCACTGCACTTAGCAAGAATTGAAAGTGTAATACTCTATGGTCGTGGTTTAGGCTCAGCTGGCAACTAAGCACCAGGCAGCTGCTCACCCACTCCTTCCCACTCACAGCAGTATGGGGAATCAGAAAGAAAGTAAAACTCCTGGGTTAAGATAAGAACAGTTTAATAACTAAAATAAAATATAGTAACAACAATAATATTATAATAATTGTAATGAAAAGGGATATAACAAAAAGAGAGAGAGAAATAAAACTGAAGAACAAAAAAAATCCACAGAAGTTATGCACAATGCAACTGCTCACTATCCACCAACAAATACCCACACAGTTCCCAAGTGGGAACTGCCTTTCCACCTAACTCCCCCCAGTTTCTATACTGAGCATGATGTTCTGTGGTATGGTACATCCCCTTGGTTAGTCTGGGTCAGCGGTCCTGGCCATGCTTCCTCCTAGCTTCTTGTGCACCTGCTTGCTGACTGAGCATGGGAAACTGAAACATCCCTAATTTAGGATAAGCGCTACTTAGTAACAACTAAAATATTAGTCAATTATCAGCATTATTCCCACACCAAATCCAAAACCTACTGTACCAGCTACCAAGAGAAAATTATCTCAGCCAAAACCAGGACATCTAGGAACAGTACTCACAGGAGTGAAATAAGCACATTCAGAATTACAGCATAGGTTTTTTTCAACAGGTTGTTCATGCCACCGGTATCCAAGACTCACCTTTGTAGGTGGAGTGACAGGTTTAGGGACTAATCTTTTATAAACACTTGTTCCAGTTCCATTCCTTAGTGGCTGTGAATGAAGACTTCCTACTACTGGGAATCCAGGTATCTGTAGTTCTTTTGTACTGCCCTTCTTAATGACCAGCATTCTCGGAGATCTAGATTTAGGATTCAAAGGGTACTCTGGGAAAAAAAAAAAAAAAAAAGAAAAGAAGCACGTATATATATGTGTGCACGTGTATATAATCTTAAGTTTTTAGTTCAGAAGGTACTGGATAGCTACATGATCCAGAGCAAACAGGCATAAATCAGGAACTTGGTCCAATATTAGTTCCATAAAAAACACATTATACAAATCTGGAGAAACATAGATACAACATTTCCATGTTCAAGAGTACTAAGAGACAGTCAGCTGTCAAACAACTGACTTTAACAGTTTTAAAGAATACCTCTTAAAAACGGTTCTAAAATTTTCAAAGAGGTGAAAATATTTCAATTATTTTTTTGCACATGCATTCCAATGTTGCATTAACAGCATTTTCCATTATCTCCTCTCCCTGCAAGCATTTCTTCTATTTCACAGGCAGAGTCACCATATCCTATATTTGAAAAAAATGATCATAAAAGCATAAGTTACTTTAGCTTTGTTTAGCAGGCAGCTGTCAGAAAACATTTATAGTAACTGTACATTTAACTCTCATTAAACTCATTATGAAAAGACTTTTCATAATACTTACATGCACTCATCACATATACACAAGGTAAAATGTAATCTAACAGAAGCATACATTTTTAACAGGCATTAGAAGGGGATAGTAACATTCCTCCTGTCCTGAATACTATTTCCTTTAAAAAGGAATAACAACAGCTTTAATCCCAATTTTTCAATTACAAAATAAGGTTTGCAACAGCAGAGCTGTAATAAAGTAAGATACGAAGCTGAAAGCTACAACCAGCTAATGCACTGTGGCTTACAGGTTGGACTAGATGATCTTTAAAGGTCCCTTCCAAACCAAACCATTCTATGATTTTATGTAGCTAACAAAACTGTTCCTTCCTTTACTTGTGAAGTGTGATAAGTGGAAAGCTTGTCCTCCTTCAGACCAAACTGAGCCACATCATGCAGTTGTAAAACACTCAAATTGCTATGTAATTTTTCCCAACTTTGCTAGGAAATAATTTAGTTATTGTTGCTCTATTATTGAAAGATAACTATTTCCTGACTTTTACATGAAAGCTGCTGAACACACAAAACGTGAAAGTAGTCCAATTGTTTAGGTTCCTACAAATGTTCTTAGCAACTAGGTATTTATATTGAGGGCTTGGCCTCTATCTAGTAATATCTAAGAGTGCAGAGTATTTTAGTGAAGTATAAGAAAAATAATCAGCAAATTAAAGTACCATTTAAAATCAGCAACATTTCAGATCTCAGTGTTATCAACAGATTAAGTAGTAGCTTTTATATTTAATAAAGAGAAAGGTTTTTATTTTGAGTAAGTTTATTACTTTAAAACCTGTGTAGTGTAAAGCTGTCACCTCCTTAAAGGTGAACTACTGACTACATAAAGCCCACAGAAGTGCAAAGCGGTAGCCAATTTAATCAGGTATAGTTCCAAACTACAGTTCAGTTCAAGGCCCACTCTCAGGATTGGATTTATTAAAAGCAGTTGTAAACAGAGCCAACAGCTTAAGACACTTGCTTCCAGGAAGAAACCTTAAATCCTTGCTAGCTTTGCTCTTTCCAGCCCTCCTACGTTTCTCTCCAAACTCTTCCAACAGCTCTAATGGAGTCAGAAGCATTGTTTCACAAAGTTTTCAGCTAGCAATCATATCACGACTTTAGGTGATCCACCTTCATTGCCTTTCCTCTTGAAAATAAAGGTGAATATAAATTCTTGACATATTTACAAAAAGCTGTTCTGGGAAAGAATCCTAGTTGTGCCTGCAGCTACAGACCAATAGATTGTTATTCAAATAGAAGTGTTACCTCTCTAATAATAGTATTGAATTTTTCTCAGTTTCAATCCATACCTTTAATCATTTAAATCTATACCTTTATAATTAAAAAAAAAAAATCCTATGTTTTATTTGAAACAACTTCAGATCTTTGTTACATTTTTACATTTTAAAGCATAAAAAATACTCACCCCACACACCTGCAGCTAAAGATTTATTCTGGTTTGGTTCCCTCTCATATTCTGGGTTCAAAGATGGCTGAAAGAAAGTTTCATAATTATTAAATAAGTAAGGCTTGAATTCTAGGACCAATGAAATAAAGAATCACAATAATATTGGCAGTGTGACCTCTGCTGTCAAAGATTTTTAAATGGAGACAGACTAGACACTTCCTTCTGCAACCCAAAGAGGTCAATGCTCACTTGTTTCCCTTCTCCAACAAAACACCTCAGGCAATCAATACCACTATAAGATCTGTCTAGTGAAAGCAAAAAGCAGAGGCAAGAGCAAATGACTAGCACCCTCTTTACCTATGGGAAGAGTGGTCTCTTATGTGATGATCTCAAGCTAGTGAAATCTCATAAAGTAGCTTGTGATGGACAAAATGGCACTTGCAGAAAAAACAAAACCATGTTTATTATAATTACAATTAACTTACAAAATCCTCAGCCTCAAACTGTTTGGGTACTTCTTTGTCTTCCTTTTTCCCAGTTTGATTATCAGGTACATTGTTTTCATGCAGTCCTTGGCCTTTTCCACAGTGGGAAGTGCTGGTACGAGCACGGGAACCTCCGCCATGGTATCCCCCACGATGGTTTATGTTTTCTGTACCATTTTTGCCTTGTGAACGCCAACCATTCTTCTCTTTTCTCCCAAAATGCCCTTAGATTTTTCAATTTTAAAGAAATGTAATTGCAGTTTTAAAAGAACATTCTACTTTTGCAAAAATGTTAGAGAAGTCAGTAGTTCTATACTCTGAGATGTGATAGCATAGTAAACTTAAGTTTTCATTCATATAAGCAGTAGGGAAGAACCTTACAAAACAGTGCCAGAGAAAGAGGGTAAACAGTCCAACATTCAGACAAATCAATCTCCTTTTCTGAATTGTCATTTGTAAGTTACTGGCTAGAATATTAACCTGTGCTAGCTATAATATTAATTCTTACTAAGAAAGAAATACATCTGGAATCACACTACTTTAACCAACCCTTAGTCATCACATTCTCTCCCAGAAGGTATGTCTTTCCATTACCTCTATTTTACTACAGAATAAGAATTTAGCATAGGAGAGATATTATTATTGGACTTTTTTTCTAGCTAGCGCTACAAAGCGATAATATAAACGTATTCAAAATGTTCCATGAAAGCTAAATACCTCCAATAGGCCGTCCAATGTTAGTATCAAACCCATCTGAAGAGTTGTGTCTTCTACGATTTGCTTCATAACGATTTTCTGTGCATGAAATATTTTCAGAATGTTTCTCAAAATTAAGTGATGACTGTAAAGGAGCACAAGTGGTAGACCTGAGATATCTGATTAATAACAAAATTAAATTAACACAACTGTAACATGCACATTACTTCTGGTTGTCATGTCCCACTCAGACAAGGGAGACAAGTGACTTAGATTTGTAGATCCCCAATGGCAGTGGACAGCGGTGAGTCTCAAAGTTTATTAACTTCCCACAATGTACTAACCGGATACATGACAACTGGCTAAATACATAAAGAGTTATGGCAAGCAATATAATATGTCTTGCATTACTTGATGGTAGTGAAGAAAAAGGGGAAAAAGGAGAGGAGGGAGAAAGAATTAAGAAAGAGAGATCACTGGTCTGGGTTCCTGCGTCGATCCCACCAGCGAGGATTCAAGGAAGCATCCATCTTCTTTGTTTCACTCCATTCTCTGTCCCAACTCCTCTTTTTCCCCCCTCAATTTGTACACAATTTTCCTCAGGTCCATCCCCTAGGTTGATCCATGTATCTACATATACCATGTATGAGGAGGGGTAGGGTGTAACTCACAGAATCATCTAGGTTGGAAAAGACCTTGAAGATCATCTAGTCCAACCATTAACCTAACATTGACAGATCCCAACTACACCACATCCCTCAGCACTATGTCAACATGACTCTTAAACACCTCCAGGGATGGGGACTCCACCACTGCCCCGGGCAGCCCATTACAATACCTAAAAACCCGTTCTGTAAAGAAATACTTCCTAATATCCAGTCTAAACCTTCCTTGGTGCAACTTGAGGCCATTCCTTCTTGTCCTATTGCATGTTACTTAAAGAGGCTCATCCCCAGCTCTCTGCAGCCTCCTTTCAGGGAGCTGTAGAGGGCGATGAGGTCTCCCCTCAGCCTCCTCTTCTCCAGACTAAACAACTCCAATTCCCTCATCAGGTTCTCATAAGATGATGTAATTAGCATGATCCTGCTAATCTTCATTAGCATATTCAGGGATATTAACTTTAATATGCATTTTGTGGATAATGAAACATTCACTGGACAGATGGCCCTTGAAATATGACCAGGTGCACCAGAGCAGAACTGTCTTGTCTCCACAGGGCTCCCCTCTCCAGATGCATCCTGTGCTATTTGGGCAGCCTTATCACCTTCAAACTCCACACTACCCACCCTGTGGCTATAGTTTCATTACCTTCAAGTGTTTGAGACATTCCTTAGCTCAGAGGGCCTCTACTCCCCCTGCTATCCCTCATCTCTTTCTCAGGCTGTTTTTCTCAAGTCTTTGTTTCTCATAGGCCTGTTTTTTCAGGACCTGTTTTTACAAGTTGTCTCTCACAATGGTAAAGACAATTCATTTTTGAAAGGACTTTCAATGGCAGATAGTGTAGCAGTCCTCAAGTATGCATAGAGTTAAATTTCCTTGAGCTGGGAGGGGGCACAGCTAGAGTGCTGGGTCTGGACTGGCCTCTAGAGCATTCCACATCATGAGACATCATGCTTGGTATATAAAAAGGAGGCAAGTTCTCTCTCATGCTTCCTTCCTTCTGTCAGCATCGCTGCTGGGGGGGCACAGGCTGGATGTTGGTCAGCAGGTGGTGAGCAAGTGCATTGTGCATTACCTGTTTGGGCCTTCCGTTACTGTTCTATTATAATCACTAAACTGTTCTTTATTTCAGCCTTGTCACCAGCCAAGTTCAAACCATGACAGTTCTTTTGGTGTCCAACATGGGACATGAGGGTTGAAATAATGACAGGTCGGGTCATAATGTTGATTGCTTGGCTGCTTAAGATTTTATCTCATTTGCTGTACGTAGTCCCCATGATGCTGCTCACCACCCATAAGGGTTGGATTAAGATTTTGGTTTTGCTGTACCATATAACGCTGATTTATGGCACAATTAAGTCATTGGTCCTGGGGCTATTTACAATCGTGTTTGAGAACTTTGGGAATTTTGAATATTCTTAGAATGTTGACACTAAAATAGTCATCTTACTGCTGGGAGTCAGTGTGTTCCTGCAAGTGGTTCAGACTTTGTTCAGGGTTAAGCAACTATTTAAGAGTATCACCCAGAGATCTACCCCAAGGCTGGAGAATTATGAGTGGCTGGGGGGTGGGATAGCATTGGCAAGTAGCTAGAACAGTGGGCACCTCCAGTGTATTGGAAATTCACTTCCAAATGGGTGCAGAATCCTATAGAACTAGTGAAATATATGGAAGAAATAAGTTATCACCCGGGTAATTCCAGAAAGGCACAGCTCACTGCAACATGCTAGGGCCTAGCCCATGCCTACCAAGTCCTGTTAAACACTATTCAGTACCCTCAAAGGGAAGAGAAGGGCTCTACATCTGGTAACAAAATGACGACCTTGCAGCCACTCTAAAGTCCACATCAGAAACTGCAGCCACTACAACCCCCATGACGAGTGCTGCAGCCACCCTGCAGCCAACAGGTACTGCAGCTAATCCAACCCCAACAACAGGTGCTGCAGCTGAACACAGAACCAACCTGTGACTGTTGCTCCTGTACACAAGAAGAAATACGCAAGAAGAAAATTCCCTCACAGTGTGAAGGATGACAATGAACCAGAGCCATCATGGGAACAGGAGGAAGAGGCAGAATCAGTGATAAATCATCTGATCCTCATCCCTGAGTGAGCTGCAAGACATGCAAAAGGATTTCAGCTGCCATCCAGGTGAGGACCTCGTTACTTGGCTGCTCTGATACTAGGATAAGCAAGGCCAGTAGCATGGAATTAAGAGGGTAGGGAAGCCAGGCAGCTAGAATCCCTGTCTAGGGAACGGGGCATCGACAAAGCAATTGGAAAAAGGACACAAAATCTGAGTCTCTGGAGGTGACTCCTCTCAAGCATGAGGGAGAGGTATCTCTTCAAGAAAGATGTTATACATCATCCAAGTAAGTGGACCACTATGGAGAGAGGTATCCAATACTTGAGGGAGCTAGCCGTGGACTATGACCCAGATAATGTGTGGCTACCCACAGATCCAGATGAAGTCCAATGCACCTGGCCCAAGTGGCAAAAGTTTGTACAGAGCACACCATCATCATATGCCAGTGCATTAGCAGTAATGGGCTGGAGAGATGAAGAGACTTGCTGACTATGACAACATGAAGAAGTCTCTCTTCCTCCCTCGTCACAGCTGTGAAGGAACCATCTCAAGAATTCCAGCAATTTAAAGAGGACATGTCCTACTCCCCACCTGCACAGACTAGGATCTCAGCTATGAGAAGCATTTCCCTACTCAAGAGAACTGGTACACGTGACGAGGGAACCTGTGGTATTGCCTGCCTGCATGACCATGGAGAAGACAGGAAGAAACAGGTTGGGAAAACCTACCTATACCTCCTAGAAAAATGGGTGAGTCGGAAGGAAGAACAAGTACAAAATAGGGTTCTTTCAGGAAAAATACTGCTCTGTTTTCCAGTAATCAGGTGCCCAAACAGAGCAGAAAGGTCAACTTTGCTCACAATCCTACAAGAATAACTTCTATTTGTATTTACAAGAAGTGAGTGATCAAGATGAGACTAAAACCCGTGCACATCACACTAACCCATTTGCCATTAGCAGGTATTATGATCAACATTAGAGAGGCCCTGCCTCCAGCCAGGTGGAGGACAGGCACAACCAAGTTTACTGGATGGTGTGGATTCAATGGCCTGGCACATCTGACCCCCAGCAGTATAAGACCCTAGTGGCCACTGGTGCGCAACGCACCCTAATGCCATCAAATTTTAAAAGGGCAGAACCCATTTGTATTTCAGGACTGACAGAAGGGTCTCAACAGTTGACTGTGTTGGATGTAGGCTGAGGTGAGCCTAACTGGGAATGAGTGGGAAAAACACCCCATTGTGACTGACCCAGCAGCTCCACGCATTCTTGGTACAGATTATCTCAGGAGAGGGTATTTTAAGGACCCCAAAGGTATCAGTGTGCTTTTGGTATAGCTCCCTTGGAGATGGAGGAAATTAAATAGCTGTCTCTGTTATCTGGTCTATCAGAGGATCCTTCTGTTGTGGGATTGCTGAGGGCTGAAGAACAACAGGTGCCAATTACCACTACAACAGCACACTGACAGTAATATCGTACCAATCAAGACTCTGTAATCCTGATCCATAAACTGATTTATCAAATAGAGAGCCAAGGAGTCATCAACAAGACTTGCACACCCTTTAACAGCCTCATATGGCCAGTATGAATGGAGAGTGGAGACTGACAGTAGACTAGTGTGGCCTGAATGAAGTCACACCACCACTGAGTGCTGCCATGCCAGATATGTTAGAACTTCAGTATGAACTAGAGACAAAGGCAGCCAAGTGGTACACCACTACTGATATGGCTAACAGCATTCCTCTCCATCCCTTTGGCAGTAGAGTGAAGTCCAGTTTGCTTTCACCTGGAGGGGTGTCCAATACACCTGGAATCAACTGCCCCAGGGGTGGAAACACAGCCCCACCATTTGCCGTGGACTGATACAGACTGCACTGGAACAGGGTAAAGCCCTGAAACACTTACAGCACATTGATGACATCATTGTGTGGGGTAATACAGCAGAAGAAAGGTTTTGAGAGAGGGGAGAAAATAATCCAACTCCTTCTGAGAATCAGTTTTGCAATAAAGCGGGGTAAGGTCAAGGGACCTGCATAGGAGATTCAGTTTTTAGGAATAATATGGCAAGATGGACATCATTAGATGCTGATGGAGGCAATTAATAAAATTACAGCTATGCCACCACCAATTAGCAAAAAAAAAACCCACAGGCTTTCTTAGGTGTTGTGGGTTTCTGGAGAATGCACATTCCAAATTACAGTCAGATTGTCAGCCCTCTCTATCAACTGACCCAGAAAAAGAATGATTTTGTATGGGATTCAGAGCAACAACAAATTTGTGAATAAACTAAACAAGAAATAATTCATGCAGTAGCCCTTGGGCCGGTTCTGACAAGACAAGCTGCAGCTGGGGAAAAAGACCCTACCTGTAGTCTATGGCAGAGAGCACCAGGGGAGACTCA